ATCTGGAGCACATTTTCTCTTGGGGCTATATCAACAATGTTTCAATAAATGCTTCAAAAGCATCTTTTCTTTAAATTTCTCGAAAACACCATTCATTGTCCCCTCCCCCACTTCTGATTTGATCTCAACCAACTCCGTTCCACAAACTTTGTTTCACCTCTTGGATTTTCTAGAACTTTTTCTTTATGCTCAGGTCGCTTCTCGTGCCAGACGCTTCTTCTCCTTAGCTCATATTATGCTACTGTACAACGCTTAAGTCCGTCCTGCAGCCCCACGTGTGGTTGGGCTTTGTTTTCTTCTCTTTCCCTACCTGATCATGTTTAACGCAAAGCCATCCGGTTGACCGGTGATCCTTCCCTAATCTACAAACTGCGGTCACTAGCCTATCGTTGGGCAGTTACAGTTGTTCTATTTTTACTACCTTGTTTTTTTGTACTTCTGAGCTTGCTTCGGCAGTGCCTCTTCATCTAACTTTTGCACGCCCATCCCGTACACAGGAATCTAGTCATCGTTTTCAGGTTTCGGTCACCAATTATCGTACTTCTCTGCTTCAATCTTCTTTTTCCCCCGAACTGCCACTTTGTGGAATACTCTCCCAATTTCTGTCTCACCCCACCCCCCAACTTACCACCTTACGCTCTTTAAACGCAGAATCAATAAACTGGATCTTACGTGAATGCTCCCCCAGTCTCCTTTCTACAGTATACTCTTTGTCTATTGGAAATTTCCCTTTTACTGTAGCTCACATCTGTAATAAAGTGTCTCTAACCATCGGTTACGATCATCCCGAGGTCCCCAGCCGGGGAGTCTAACAGGACCTATGTGACCCAGTACCCTGGTTACGGACCTCATACCCTCGTGCCAGATCTTAGGTTGACCACCCTTAGCTTTTTTTCACCCACTAGCTGCCTCGGTAAACATTGCTCGCTGTGGCAACCTGTTTGGTGACATGTATAACACAGGAAAGCAATTCATGGGACTTATGAGTTACCGGCTAGACCAAAAAGTCGACAGACTAAAGAACACCATGGTCTGCCTGAACACAAGCATAAACAAGGTGGACCGGAAAAATCAGGCAACGCGTATAGAGTCTTACCTTGTGTCCAGTATAGAGGCGAACAAGTTTACCAGATCGTACGTCGAACAAACGTACCGCGCGATCTGCACTGCCCGTGGCTAAATAATTCACGTTCGGATGCAAACACACCGAGGTTACGTCGGCGCGATGACCGACAAATACGCGTAGGGCATCCGGTGCATGGTCTGTCGAGTATAGGTGTGCACTGCGATCGGCTCCACCTGTGGCCACATAGTGCCCGTAAACCGGAGCCCATGCGACAGACCAGACGGGAAGCAAGTGATCTCGCCACACAGTCAGTGCGCCGCCCCACAGTAGGCTAGACCAGAGTCGGACAGTTCCGTCAGAACCACCGGACACAATCAGTTGCCGGTCAGGGCTGAATGCGACTCCATGAACGCTGCCAACATGTCCGAGAAGATCACGTGTGGAATGATGTTCTCTGGGATGGGTACCGCGAAAAACGCACAAATTAGAGAGGAAACTTCATGTAAGAGACTCATGTGACCAAATATAATGAGGGGTAATAAACCGTTCCAAAAGTGAGGGCTTCTCAGATTTTAAGCCTGTAAAAATATGAACTTCATATTTAGCTTGTTGGTGTAAAATGGATGACAGCTATTTAATCCTTGTTGGGACTCGTTGGCAATACGCAGTTTTAATCCTGTCCGGACTAGAACCGCGAACATCTGGGATAGGAGCCAAAATTCTTACTATTGGACTACACAGAAAACGGTCAACATTCTGGGCAAACGACTAGACAGATTAATCCAAAGCATTCTTCTTGTGCATCCTGTGAACTCACAGAAACAAGTGGGTGTGAAATTCGATGGGTTAAACTAATTGACTATTCTAACATTTGATATCACGGTTTCGATTGCTACTCGCTGGTAAAAAATGGAAGCAATTTTATAAAAATAACAAATAAGATAAACTCCAAACACTTGTGTTTTTTTAAAGATATATGCTATTTTGAGATGTACGCCACTTAGAGAACAATTGATTTGGCACGTATGGCCTAGTTTGCTGGTCGTTCAGTTACACAGGGTAGAAGAATCCTCATTAAACTGCGCTATTTCCAAATCGAAAACTCAAAACAAAAGGCAATATTTCCCTGAACATAAGAAAACCTCCAATTAATCCTGATAGGCATAGGAGAAATCACAAAAGAATTCAACAACGCAAAAAGCTAAATAACTGCTTAAAAACAACACGAATGACATGACCCCGTAGCAAAATATAAAGATAAAGTTAACACCATATAAAAACGATGAGAGCAAGGACAACAGTCATCCTACTGTTCGTCCAAATGGGCAGCCAAAAGACAGCAACCAAAACCGGCGCAAGAAAGTGTATGGTTAATGGTTGTACAAACTGAAACCGAAACGTCATGTCGGGCAGTGCGCGAACCCTAGCACTTTCGCCCATTATTTCCATTTGCTGAACTGTACCATCGATTGACTGTGGCCCCGTGACTGGATGGGGAGTGCAAATTTATTGTATATTACAGTATTGGAAGAAAAAGCACTCTAATACACCAAAACAGCAAACAGCAATGAAAGATGAAACTCTAAAGTTATGTTATCGGATACGTGGTATAAACAGTAGGCGAGAAATATTTCCGCAGACATTCAGATGTGTTAGGAAGTGACGACAAGAATGCAATCGCAAAGGGTTTCTATCACGTCCTTCAATATCTCACGGGGTCTTGAGAACTGCAACACGGTAGATAAGAGATTTCTACTTTTGAATCAAACGGTTGATATATTTTATGGGTCAGTATTTGCGGAACAAAAGAGGACTACCGACACATACCCATTCTCGTCGTATAACATTTTTGTCTTTACACGGGAATCATCTTTGTCCAGTAATGACAACTCGTTGGCGGGCAGCATGCGACGTAGCGACTCCGGACCCAAGGACCATACACGAATGCGGCCGGAACCGAACCCAGCAGCAAGCCAACCGGCATTATCCGAAAAGTTGGTACAAGTAACACCACCTCGTCGAATGGCCAGGGTAGACTCACCTGCTTGCACATTGCAAACAGTGTACATAACAATACTCGTTCCGATGGGTTTTTGTTGCTGCCGATGTCCGCGAAGAAGGGTAGCATTTTCACGTGCCAAAGCTTGACGGGCCTCAATAGTTGTATCGCGTAACTGCAAAAAACAAAGGGTGGTAAAACAGTGGACTTAAAAAAATCCTGATATGGGTATAATTTATACAAAACTACCATTAGCATCGTACAGCGTAACACAGCGAAGCGAACTTCACTGGTCGCCGCCAAACAATGAGAGCTATTTACATATTTCCTTTACATTTCAGATAGTTTTTCATTGTTTAGAGTCCAGGGACGAGCCCTCAGTTAGACACCCAGTAGTGTTACGAATTCCAATTTGTACTAAGGTCCTATGGTTCCATATGGATTCTCGCCGAAACGTTCTCTGTGAACTGCCCTTATTTTCACACAGGAGGTTTATATTTTCGTTAGTGAGTGGCTATCCACTGAGTTCGGCGGAATCTATCATGGGAGAGACCACTCGCAGATTTTGAAGATGTCATTTTGCAATAATTTGCAGTTTTCGTTATTGTAGAAAAAATCGACACCGTCAACATATAGGATTTTCAAAATTCCGTATTGTCATTGATATATACACACGGGGACGAGCCTCATCCCCACCCCCACCACAAAACTAATGCCATATTTAGCAGTTTCATACTCAATCGGAGCCCCCAAAACTTCTCTGTACCCGTTTGAGATAAGCAAATCACATTTTGATTACTAACTTGAATCAAAGGTTTGCATCGTATCACTTCACCAACTAACAAACTCATGCTAGCGATGACTTATTGGATTTTGTGGTACTGTCTCGCATTTTTTTCTTCAAAACCCCTATAGGATTCTTCAAGTTGGTAATATCAATCTAAGTTGTTCTTCTTCAATGAAGTCAAACACGTTTTCCATTAGATTAGGATAGAATGAGTAGGCTGGCAAAAGGAATGAGACAATCCTTCGGTGTTGTTTATACTCTTTCACAACTCAAAAGTCACAGTATGGTCGAGGATGGGTGTCTCGGGTTGCGGCTGATCATCCTTCGTTTGAACCTGCCGAAACGCTACCATACGACCAAGCGCTTCGAATAGCTTCTGCTGAGGAAGCCCCTTCCACTGCCTTCTTGTGGCGGTGTTTTCCCAACCAAAGTGAGACGATGAAAGGCCAATGTCCGGGGTTACAACCTCGTTGGTGGATCACTGGTAGTTCACTTAGGCGAGTTGGCTAGAAACCCTGATTCCAAACCAACCAAAAGGAGGTGTACCAACTACGCACACACATTCCTGGTCTTGGTGGTGATCACCGGTTCCGGTGGGTATCGAAGTGTATTGGGCACCTTGGATGTTTGACCCCGTCCGAATAGTGTATGATTCGAAAAACTGAACAGCAGCCTCCAATGAATTGCGGTGTTCACACATTGCCTAGCTTCCTTGCGGGTCAAGCTTTGGCAAGCTGAATGCTCCGGTTGTGAACTCTCCAAGAAAATTCACGTGTTTTGGCCTGGGCAACTTAGCAGCATCATGCCCTCAAGCAACTCACGGGCCTTTTCTTTTTTATAAAGATTATTGTACCTTGATTGGTTTGGCACACAGTCTGAACTCAGACGTATGAAAATATATATTATATACAATCTGGGAGCAACGTAGTTTGCTTTTGCCATCTCATATGATCCATCCTCACCGTTCAGACATCTGAGGAATCAGATGGTGGTTCAAAGCCATGCAGTAAGTCACCCCAGCAACATATCTATTTAGCAGAATGCGGTGTAATTTTTCGTCACCGGCCACTACTACACTCCTGCTAATAGTTGCTGTCCTCAAAAAGGTGAATCCATGATCTCACTGCTCCTATATGAATACCAAGGGTCCTTGCGATTCACCACATTCATATGGATTGTTGCAAAAACTACCCAGCAGGACCGATCGAACAAAAATGCCTGGATAAGGTACCGCATCATTTAGTTATATTCATTGAATTACGAAATCCTAAAGTTTATGATTGATTGAGTAGAAGGCTTTGGAAATTGTAACTAGAGGACAATTGTCTCCACTTCTTTGTCTGGTCAGGAAATTACAAAATCCAAGAGATTTATTCGTTCCGTACGGTAAAATCTGCCTACTGTGTTAAGCTATCTAAAGCGCCGATTTCCAAGAGATCGTCACATATGTTTTCATTTCTAAGGTTATCGTCAGGATGACCGGTAGGTGGTTTGAGGACTGGGTTCAGTTGCTGCCTTCGAAGATTGGCACCACAATGGCGGTCTTCCAGTCATTCAGTATCTCAATGGAATTGAGACTAATTAAATAGCGACTTTAGGGTGACCAGTAGTAGTGAACTTATTGGTTTAAGAATTGCTGCATGAATACAATCTGGATCCAGAGAGTTTCAGGTGTTTTCAATGCCGCGTCAATATACTTCCAGAGTAATCAAGTTTCCCGCGTGGTTTGAGGGTCAAGAATTTTCACTGTGCTTGGAATTTCATTTCGTTTCTTGTGTAATGTATTCCAAAGCGCCAAAGAGAACTACATTCAGGATAATTAGTTTGTCTCACCTTCCCGATAAGGCTTGGCGTTAGCTAGATTATATATCAACAATATATTCTCTGTTATGGGCGACCATACAGAGGAACTTATATTCTCGTTGGGCTTCTACAGTGGAGTGCAGTGCACAAGTTTCCTGTTAGCATCCACATTATGCCTTCCTTTCGTGTGCCGATTTGGTAGCTGTCTTTTGGCTGTCCATTTTTATAAAGGAGTAGAACGAAGACTGAAATGTGCGAAGCAGTGGGAAGGTGAAAACAGATAATTAACGCAGATTAAGGTTGCAAGGACACAAGTGTCATTGTCAGCCACATCACTTAGTGCCACTAACCATCGATTACGCTGAACCTGAGGTCCCCATCCAGGAAGCCCAACGCGGCTCAGGCGAGCAAGTTTCCTGATGGGGGTCTGCATAACTTCATATCAGGCCTTAGTTGGACCAGTCTTCAGTTTCTTACCCATTACCTGCCTCGGCAAACACCGCACCGTGGCAACCTATTTTGTGGGATATGTAACACATGCCCAAACCAGTGCAATCCACGGAAGACAGCGGTGTTCAAACACCAACAATTCGTACTGATAGTCATTTGAATAGAAATCCCACTGAAATCCCGTGTCCCACAAGGTTCGGTGCAATTTTCCACTCTACTCGTTCCCTTCATCGCCACACTTCTATCCTAAGCACGCAGGTGAATCAGTGGACTCCTAATGATACCATCATATATTGTTCCATTTCTTCCAATACTTTCAGTACTTACTTTCAGTTTCAGTTTTTACAACCATGAACCATGCACTTTCGTGCGCCGGTTTTGGTTGCTGTCTTTTGGT